TGAATAAACCCTTTCTCTTTAAGAAAATTTCAAAAATATTTTAGGTCTCATAAATGAAATCAGATATTTTAAGAAGCACAGAAGTAAAACACAAAAACAAGAGAGCTTGGAAGTATCTAAATAAATTAAATCAAAGTACTAGATTGCTTCTAATATAAGTCAATCACAAGACAACCAAAGTCGCTTTAAACAAAGCGATTTAAAAACACTTTACATAGATGTTCTATCAAAATATAATTGGCTTCATGATGATTGAATAAGATCTATACACCACCAACATAAGCTTATACATTAAATCTCTATAAGTATGGTCTAACTTATAACAAAACTAATGAATACTAGAAAATTAAAAGATATAAAGGAAGAAAAAAAGATACACAGAAATATATAGTGGTTCGACGTTCGTCCTCGCTTTTCCCACTCCACTCTTCAATGCTGTTAAAAACCATTAGAATGTAATCAATATCTTCCACTATTTTAATAAGTTCGATACAAGCATTTTGGTTACAACGAACTATCAAACGATAATTCCTTCTGTTGATGGAGACATCAAACTGCTAACAAAAACAAGATCTATAAAATACCTTGATGTAATAACCTGCTCCAAGTATTTGTATGTGGCAATCCACCAAATCCCACTGATTTCTTGTTTGAGCGATTTCAATTAGCTAAGTGTTGATTAGACAACTTCCAACTTTGTCTACGAGAAATCTTTCTTTAACTCCACCAAAGATGGATAACTTTCACCTCTGCCTTAGGAACAATTGATACTTGATCTCGCCAAACTCTTCCTTGGAGTATAATGAAACTCTCTCCTTGATAGATAATAATAAGGACCAAAATGCATTCAAGAAATGATATCTACACCTGTTACAAATAACAAACTCCACACTAAAACATTAGATACCCTAGTGTATCACTAGCCTCCTTCAAAACTCAACCTTTAGAAATGAAGGTCCACAATAATGGAAAATGACTAAGTATGAAGATGATGAACAATGTCAAACTATCTCACAAACATTCTAAAGCACAAGGTGTTAATCAAGGGATTAAATGAATGTGAATGAAGAACATACACACAAGGTTCTTTCAAATTTATGAGTAAATGGGTCTTGGTTCTTGATTAATATCACGATCTTGATTGATATGATGATCTTGATTAATCATGAACAACACAACAAGATTAATCAACTCATTCTCTCTAATTTACTCAACACAACAACACATTACACTAGAACAAGATGCAAACAAAAAAAAGTGAATCTGACATGGATTACACTAAAGAAGTTGTTTTAGAGAATAAGAGAAAGATTCATGGTGATGAGTATATACACTAAGGAGAGAAGACAAATTGACATATTAGTCTCTATGGGTTTTGTAACACCCCGATTTTTTAGAATTAATTATTTAAGTGAGTTATTAGAAATATTTATGAATTATTGATGAATATGTGATATTTTGTTGAGTATGATGTGTGGTGTGATGCTATGTTGTGGGATAATGGAAATTTAGACGAGTAAGGAGTACTTTAGAAATTTAGATAATTAGTTAGTAATTAGTTAAAATTAGTTAGAACTATTATTAATAGTAAAATAAATGAATAATTGGTGTAGAGAAGATAAGGGCAAGGTGGTAATTGATGAAAGGCAAAGTGAGGACAAATTAGGAAAAACATATTATGGGTCCTAAGGTTAAACAATGAATAGAAGGAAAAGAATGTCATTTTGGTACGATTATGAAAACATTGGAAGAGCAGAGAAAATGATAGGGCACGTAGAACATAGAGGGATTCGGTATACCGCGAAGAGAAAGGATCAAAGCTAGGAATCTAAGGTAAGGGGGGGAGGTGATCTATCATTATAATTGATATGTGGTTTATAGGTATGTAGGGATTTGTTGGGATTTGTGGTGATTGTTGCAATTGTCATGAAATTATGTTGAAATGTATGAAAATACCATGTTGATTTGCCATGAGTTTGTGTATATAATACCTATAATATTTTGTGGTTGTTGTATGATGATTCTATGTTGAAAACTATGAAAATCTGGACTGTATTGTTATGAAATCGCAAGAGGGTTTGGGACTGAACAGGTGCAGAATCACAACAGGGAGTTGCTATCCAGTGCATGTCTCCAGGCGAAGGGAGGCATCGTTGGGCGAGGCAACATCGTATGGTCATCTCCAGGAGAGCCAATGAGTGAAGAATGGGTGGAAAAATGGTGTTCCTTGATTTTTGTATGGAGAGAGTTGTCTTGCTCGCGCGTCGTCGGGCTATGCATACGCGAATGGCATGTCGCCGGGCGAGAAAGGTGCTTCACCAGGAGATGGAGACCAGAGAAGATAAATGGTGATGTTGATCCCACGTCTTCGGGCGAGCCTCAGGCGAGAAAACTGCATCTCCGGGCGAGCACCAGGTGATGAACAATAGTAGGATTTTTTTAAAGTGCCATAACCTGAGTTTTAGAACTCTGTTTGAGGCGTCGTTTGAAGTTTTGTATAGCTAACGTGATGAAATACATGTGGGTGGAATAAAATGAATAAGAAGATGTATATTTCCAGTACCTAGGCTAAGATAGACTTAGATCCTTAATAGGTAGGCTACAACGATACACGTTGTTGTGATGAATTGTGTTTGATAAGATGATAATCCGTTGTGACTTTGAAGTGTTGATTAACGTTGATGCTAATATGTGATGTGTATTTATGGCATGTGAATATTGTTGATGAATTAGTGAATGGTGATGCCTTTGACTATATGTAGCCGTAAATAATTATGTTGATTGTGCATCATGCATTCATAGCATTGTTAGGACGAAAGTCCAATGTTGATTTAGGACGTAAGTCTAGTGTTGTTCAGGATATTAGTCTAGTTTTGGCCTCAATCCCATTGTATGGATCGAGTGTGTTTAATGTTGTGCTCCAGTTCCAAGAGGGAATTGATCCTATGGTGGGGATCTTTGGAGGGTGATGAGTCTAGTATTCATAACGAATTGGTACCACATGTATGAGTCTATGTTATTGTACTACATTTTGTGTGGCATTGCATAATTATTGCTTAGATGATGTTTAATACGATGTTGTGCTAATTTACTGATTGTTATGATGATTTTTGATTTTGATGCCATGATATTGATGTTGAACTATTATGTCTATTTCATATATCTTTTTTAATGAATGTGATTACTCACCCTTTCTCTTTGATTGTTTCCTCCATGTGAGTAACGCACATATGATCAGAAGTAGTTCATAGGGGTCGGGGTCAGGGTCTTTCTCTGATATGTAACATCGGGGTCGGGAATGTTTGATTTTAGACTTGACGTTCTTTTGTTTATTCAAATATTTTGAACTACTTTTCATGATATTTAAGTTGTTTTGAATTATGAACCATGAACAATGAAGCTTCTATGATGTGTTTAATAAAGAAGTTTTGAACAATGAATTCCACTGCGAGTAGGTTAAGTATTATGGTTGTTATTTAAGGAAGTATTTGTCATAAATGATTTTGAAAACCCGTATTACGGAGTAAGACATGCATGTATGATATGTTATGAAGCATGTGACACCCTTTTGGTGAAATAATCTGATTATTTATTTTTTATTCGTGGGGGTTTTAGAATGGTGTTATAGGTTTCACCCACATGTTTCACACACGTTTTGCTCTCACCAAGAAAATTATTATTAAATTAAAGATGAAAAATTGGTCTTGTGAAGCTTTGATTTGAACCAAGAATAAAATTTGATTCAAATCAATTTAAGTAGAGCCCAAATGTGGTTTCATGGAGGTATTTGATTAAATATGGATTTTAACTTGATTTGAATCACAGGAGGTTGTGATTCGAATCATGTTCATTTTGTGATTTGAACCAAATTATCCAAAGGCAATTCCCAATTTTCACAAGGTTTCTGATTGAATCATGCTTAACACTTTATTTTAATCAAGTAACTAAACATTCAGATTTAAGAGCTCTAACTTGTGATTTAAGCCACACCTGATGAAACCACAAAGTAGCAATTTTCTAGGTTCAAAAAGAAACATTATCATGGATAAAAAAACTCTTATTTTACTGAGCAAAGATGATTCTTAGTGGTACAATAACACATTAACCAAAGCAATTATAATACAATTGAAATGTGAATGAAGTACAGACACACAAATATTAAACGACAAGCAAATTTCAAATACGCAAATAAACTAAAACAACTACATTCAATTTGGAAAAATCATCAAAATACATAAACAATGCCATATGATATCGAGACTACACTTTCAGTCTCCCCTTTTTTATGTTCGGAAAGTTTGAGATATTATTGTTGATAAATTCTTTAAAGCGTTATATATAATTTGATGGGTGAAATGAATCTGATGAACTAGTGTACAATACTTCGCTTGAGTTGTAAAAGTTGTAAAGCCCCCCTCCTGAATTAAACATTTAATGCGCGTGAATATTGATAATATCTTGATACATTCTCCTCCTTTGACAAATATAAAAAAGAGAGGAAATAAAGAGAGAAAGTACATGCAAACAGCTAAATCCAAGATAAAACAAAATCAAAAAATAGAATATCATACTTAGTAAACTAAACAAGCACCATATAAATCGCATACAAAATTAATTATCACAATACACAATTTAATAAAGATATCAAGAAAAAGATAACATAAATTAAATCACAAGATACATAACCCAAAATGTAGTCAAATATCACAAAATGACTAGTCAACCAAAATAACACAAATATCCAGATAAGCTAATGTTATTCTATGCATGAAAAGCTAAAAATAAAATCATAGAATGGCAAATGCATCACCAGAAGGTGTAACATATAGAATGGGAACATTGGGTTCTAGATCATGATCAGAAGGACAAATACTAAAGATGACATTAGATCTACCAAGATGGTCAACAATAGCTCTTATAAAATCCACTTGAACAATCACTCGAGCTTTGACAACTTGCATCTCGGACTTCAATTCTTCCTTCAATTTTTCCCGACTATCCTAACTTTCCTTAGATACACTATCAATGCATGCCATGATCCCCTTCTCCCTAATCTTCTTGTCAGCCAAAATCTTCCAAACTAGCTCATCAAGATAAGTCTTCACATCAACAGGTAATAAACCAAAAGATGACCCACTAGCCTCATAAGAGGGATCCTTAACCCGCTCCACAATCTTGTCATCATATACCTTCCTACCATATTTCCCAATATTGTAGTACACGCCATCAGTTTCACTATAATACCTCATCATGGAAACTCTGTATTCATCCATAATCTTTGGAGCTTCAACCAAGTCCTCTTCCTTGGACTTAATACCATTAATCTCTAAAATCATATGCACAAAATAGGAGTAAAATAGAGGTCTATTTGGATTTTCTTTGCAGAAGAGCATCCTCTCAATGAAGAAATTACCTAATTAAATCTAGTACTCAAAAGAGCCCACATCAGGTAGAGGTCAAAGTCGCCAGCTTTTCCCTAATTGCTCGGTTTTCTGTAGAACACCTTAATAACTATCCAGTGTAGAATTCACATGTTAAGCTTCATTTGACTAATAGGAAAGTTTGACATGCCAATGTTATCGAAAACTAATTTAGAAATGGATAAAACAAAACAAACCCTATCATACTCAGGTGATATAGCAGCAAAGATACTTGCAATAGAGGAGGTCAAACCAAGATATCTAGTGAAATCCCCATAAGAAAATTTTATAACATGGTCTTTGAATTTGCTTTCAATTCCTGTAGTGGTTTAAACAAGATTGCAATAGAATGCCTTAACATGAGCAGGGTTAAACTTATTGCTTAAGCCAATAAATTTTAACAAATTGTTATCATTAAAGGTTTTGAGGAATTTTGCTCTTAACTCAGTCTCAAGAGTGTTGTCAACATAATATTCTGGCTCAACAAGCTTGTTCAAAAATTTCTTATGATAAACTTTCATACAGTCCTCAGGCAGAAGATGAATTACCTTGTGGCACATGACAAAGGTAGTTTGAGTCTAAGAAGTTTCCATACTTGAATTTTTGCTTAGTTTACCATCAGGAGAATCCTTGCTTGCTTGAATTTTTGTCCTTGTCTTCTTTGGAAATTGAGGAGGAGATGGATTTAATGAAAACATTGGTCTCTTGCCCAAACTCTTGTCATAGAAACTCTTGTGAGGAAGATGAAAGGCCATTGTTAATGTTGATGAAAATGGTTTTGGGGTGATGAAGAGAAGATGATGATCGATGAAGATGAATGATGGATAGAGTGTTGGATGATGATTGAAATATTGGAACTTGCAATACATATGTCAAGACTGATGTCCTAACACTAACACAATGTCAAGACAGATGTTATGACATCATATGCTGATAGAAAATACTTTCTAAAACTGAAATTGTGTAGAAAATAAATTGCACAAAATTAAACAACACAATCAATTGTTAATCAAGGTCAGTGCAACATCACCTACTCTGGGGGGATAGCAAGCCAGGAAGGAAATTCACCATGGCAACATTAGTCCAAAGCCTAAACAATCCCAGTTTACAACTTCTCGCCTAATCACTACCTTGTGCAACTTTTACCTAGACACCTTTAGATATGAGATCCCCCTCTCACTTCCAATCACCTCAGTGATACCTACAGTTGCACACCCGCGACTAGAATCAAAATAACCAAGAAGATTACATTTCAAACAAACAATACTTAACTCTTTTCTTAAAAGCTCATGAGTGAGAATAATTCTTAATTTTACTTAAAAGATTCAACCAAGAACAATAACTTGATAAACAATCAAGTAATAATCAGTCTACCTCATTGTATCAAAATATACAAGGGCTACTTACGAAAACACAATAGACTCTCAAAACCTAAGACTTTAGACTTCCCCAATTTTTACAATTGTGAAAGTTGAATTACATTAGGTCTAGGTTTCTCTTTAAATACTCCTCAGTAGTCCATGGGCTTTGAAATCTTCACCTAAATATTTCTTGATCCACAAGCTGAGGGATGCACCAATTATGCAGAAAAATCTCCTTAAATCTTGGAACAAAAACATCAAGTTTCCTAAATTGTCTCAACATCCAATTTTAGAAACTTATGTACAATTGGAGATTAAATCACTTGTTCCAGATTAAATCTTCTTGACCTGCACAAATCATTGAGATATATCTAAAAGAAATATCACAAACTCAAATCAAATAAAATATGTCAAGAATTAAAACATCATGTACTGATGTTCTGGTACAACATGTCACAACATCTGTCAAAACATTTGTCTTCAATGTAACCTCACACTCTATTGTATCAGCTTGGTCAAGATGTTATGATAACTTGCTCGACATCTGTCATGAACCATGTTTTAGAATTTTTTTTGTCAATCCTAAAACCATGGATCTAACAATGATGATATGATGATGAATTTCACGCAAAGAGATTTTGGTGGTTTGAAATAGAAGTGAAATTAGAGCGAAGAAAGAAAGAGAAAATTGAATGAAATTAAAAAAAAGTAACTTTTAAGATTGTGATTCGAATCAAGTGTAAAAGTTGATTCGAATCACGGGTTTTATTTTTTAAGAAAAAACACTTTGATTCGAATCAAATAGAATGGCTGATTCGAATCAAATCGAGCAGCCCTAGAATGTTTCTAGTCACATGCTTTTGATTCTAATCAAGCTCAAAAACCAAAAAACTTGAATTGAATCAAGCAGTCTATTTTTGAAAAAACTTGATAAAATGAGTTTTTTCAAATTCAATTGATTTTAATGATAAAAAATCTTTAATCCAAATGAAAATTGAATTTTAATGACAAGCATGAATGTGATTATGACTAAAAATAATGAGCTACTTTAATGCAAATATTAAAAATAGTTTTTAATGCTAAATGCATTTGATGTGTATGCAAAAATGATTTTCATGCATAAGAACTTAAATGATCACTACTACTAAATAACGCCATTTCACCTTAGACGCAAAGGGGAGATAGCCTCAGTTACACCGACGAGGTAACGAAGGGCGACATGAAAACCTTCCACTTTACCTGTCAGATTTTGAATAACTGAGAAGAAAAGTGACACTAGTCTTGTGTTTGATCCCCATCAACTGCAATTTTTGGATTTTCAAAACTGAGTTACTTTTTACCTCGATTTTTTAATAAAAAATTGATGGGTAAAGTCATGTTTACAAAATTTTAGCTTTAACCTGTTTTTTTTTAATATGCAGAGTATCAAATTTGTTGACATATTCTAAATTTTCCTCACCATCATCAACAGCAACAAAAATAAAATCAATAGAATCCTTAGACATTAAATCTTAACAACAAAAACAACAACAATAATAACAACAACAACAACAAAATCAAGAATCTTTAAACATTAAATCTCAATAATAACAACAAATAAACAAAATCAATAGAATTTTTAAATACTAAATTTCAACAATAACAACATTAAAAATATTAAACATTTAACTTGATACAACTACAACTAACATTAAACATTTTAACAAGGAATTACTAGGAAAAAAATTATATTAATAAACCAACCTTGAAATATTATCCCACCAGACAACAACACTACTCTTCATGCTGGTTGCCACCATATTAAGTTGCTTATTCTCGGGGACGCCCATAACATTGAAGAATCTGTCAGCATCGATCTGCTAATCCAGAAACTCCTCCACTCCCATCGTTTCATAGAGTAATGGAATATCAGACTTCATTAAATATTCATGGTTATGTTGATTCCTATGATCAAATATCTCTTCCTTATCTGGTTCTTCTTCTTTAGAACTTAAATTTTTAGCAATAACAACACGATTATTTCTATCACGCAGAACAATAATCGACTCCATTCTCCTGTCTCTTTGCTAGTTCCCATTGTTGTTGCCATTGTTCATCTGAGTTGTTAAAGTCTCCATTTATTCGTCAAAGCAGGTAAGGTCGTGGTAAAAGCCGCGGTAATTTCCTTAAGGTCTTTTTTGGTAAATGGTTGATCTCTCATGGTTGATCAAGTTACAAAAAGAAACAGAAGAAAACCTGCTATGATACCACCTGACGTAGTCAGAATCATGAAGGATTAGTAAGTGCTAAACCTAGAACGAAACAAAAGTTTGCAAGCGACAAACCTGTAAGATAAAACTCTAGAATCCACTAGAAAGAGAAAACAATTGAATTTTATAATGATAAAAGATAACTGACAGTCATGTCCAAAATTTGTTTAAATACTAAAAAAAACATAATGCTTTAATATTCAGAAATAGAAATTGATAAATTTTGGAAAATAAAACATAAATTGCTAAAATCATGGAAAATATAAAAATGTTATTTTGGGGCTTGAAATGAACTGGGTGGCTTAAAAAGCCCATATGTCACAAAAAATTAGTGATTTGGACTCGTGAGTAGATTAATTATCTTAAAATAAATAATAAGATTCATTTTGACATCAGACGCCAAACTTGCACAAATCCCGCTGAACCTTTCCGATGTGCGACTTCTTCTTCGATATGCCTAACCAACCTTCATACGTAGCTCATAATGTCCTTAGAGAACTGGAACACTTGATTGCCTCCATAAGATGATCTAGATAATTTATAAGGTTTATCTATTTTAGTAAGCCATCGTGAAATTTTCAAAGAGTCAGTTTCGCATTTCTTTGAGACTTTCTGTTTAATCCATTGTTGCTTGCTTTTCCTCCAACGCTTTATCTTTCAGTTCTAGAAGAAGGTAGCACTTGTCATGAGTCAAAAATCAAATAAAGATACTTATGCCTCAAGGGTTGACCATGTATCTTCATCAACTGTATATGTTTCGAGAGAGTGGTCTTGAGGGAGACTTCTTGGGTGTTGGTCCATCTTCGGATTAGGGTGTCTTGACCCATGGAGAAAATGAGAGAATCTTGAGCGAGTATGGTGATTGTTCCATCCCTTTTTATGAGTATGTCTTCTCGATCATGGGTCTTTGAATGCCCATTAATATCTTTGAAATAGAAGTTCTGAATCATTTGAAGGTTTCCCCATTGCAACTACGCCCTAGGAGTTAGGGGTACGTGAAAGTGTTCCAGTAAGGGTGAGAATATTTAAATAGGAAAACTTTTCTATCCCTTTTTGTCCATCTCTTCAAAGTTCGACATGGTCCTCGACTCAAGCGTGGGGTTCTAGTTTAGTTAATTTGGAGCAAGTTGTTCCTAGTTTCAGAGATTTTTTAGAGAGCTTGATGCATTTCTAAAATTGATTCTTCCTGGTCTCCTGTAACACCCAAATTCTACCAGGCAATTATAAATGTAAATCAGAGTTATAAAATTCATGCAACTGAATCAGGATGCCACAAATTCGGCTTTAAAAACAAATTGCATTCAACATGGATACATAACACTTTAAAACTCCAGATGAGCCATCGACATAATAACTTAATCTC